TTCAGAAAATCTTTTCAGGACCCCACCTTGATGTTTCGGGACCCCACTTTGGGTCCCGACCCCAACTTTGGGAAATCGTGTTCTATAGAACCTCCTTGTCAAGCACACTAATGTTCATGTTCCGTACAATTGATGCAACTTACAAATGGCTACAGCTGCATTAACCCTTGTTAAATCTGTTTTGTTTTCAGACCTCTGTAAAGTGTGACCAGGACCAGCAGCTGGGGGACCACCGGTGCCATGAAGACTCAGAAGTGCAAAGGGGTCGCACCAACTTTGCCCCTCTGCAGAGGGAAATCTCGTTTCCACTTACGAGGCAGGAGGAAAAAGGACAGGGTGATTCAGGGCAGGCTTCGCATTCGCTCCTTGCCCGGAGCGTTCCTCGTCCTGGGGGTGGTGGTGGTGGCCGTGGGCACCGCTCTGGCTGTAGCTGGGTACTGGCCCTACAGGCCGTCAAGATCGTCCATCCTGGAAGCTCCCGAGGAGGAGCAGACCCACAAGTCGCAGGCCTCTGGTTGGAGTCCCGACGCTAAGGGGTTCCTGTCCACGGCCGGCCTCCTCCACGGTGAGCGTATGAAGCTGCTGGGCCCGGTCATCATGGGGGTGGGACTCTTCATCCTCATATGTGCCAACACAGTTCTGTACGAGAACAGGGACAGGGAGACTCAGATGCTGCTGGCTCAGATGCATAACGTTATCTGCTCCGTGTCTGCGGCCGTGCCCTCTGCAGGCCTCAGGGACGCGGCAGCAGCCAGCTCCGTGTCCAAACGGTACCAGTGGGTGAGCAGCCTGCCTGCTGCTCAGCTCAACATCATGTGTGTGCAGCAGCTGACCAGCTCTGAACCTCTGCTCCAGACCAGGTACACCACAGACCCGAAGGACAGGGGGGACGAACCCTACCAGCAAGCTGTTCTCCAGACTGAAGCGCTCCACCACCAGGAGTCAGAACCAGCAGCCTCACTGTCTTCCTCCTGCTCTGACTCGTGTAAGAACCACCCAGCAGATCCACAGACAGGCTGCAGTTTACCAGCTCCCCCCCTCAACGTCAGCCTGCTGTCCTCCAGCTCCATGTCCAATCTCAGGGTAGAAGAAACGGAGGTCCCGGCTGCCCAGCCGAGGCGCTGCCACAGCATGAGCCACAGGACTCGTCCTTACAAAACTCAAACCGGGGCGAGTCCACAGGCGGGACTACGTCCAGTCCAGACAGATCCACTCAAAGTTCCCAGAGGAGAGACTGGTTCCCAGGTTTGTGTGAACATCCCAGGACCGTTTGCTGATGCCATGAAGGAGCTGAGCCGTCAAAGCTGGCCTCGGTTAGACCTGGGGGGTGGGAGGCGATACTTAAAACTGGAGAACAAAGAGGACTCTGTGGATAAACTGCTGGACCAGTTGGAGCAACAGTATTCTTCCTGTGAGAAGAGTTTTGGCTCCGGGCCTTTCCAATGATACATGTTACTGACAGAACTAAGAGGAAAATATATTTTCTAGTGTTTGTTTTGACTTTTCTGTGGGACAGAACAATTGAAGACACAGTATTAGTATACATTGAGGTATTTTACAAAACGTATGCCCTTTCTTAATCTTCCATTGGAAATCAACAGGCTGGGCTTCATTGGCCACATTTTGCTGATGTTTTATAATAATTTTAAGAAATAACTCTGTCACAGCTGAGGAAAGCGAGGTCACATATTGCATTTTTGCAGTTTGAATGGGCGACGATGCAAGAAATCTAGTGTCGTGTTGAAAAAGATATGCCTGTTCCCCGGACACAGTGTGCACAGCTCCATAACGAAGAGACAGATAGGTGCAAGAGGATAAAGGGTTTTTTTTTTTGTATGGTGTTAACATTTCTGAACAGAATTACCCAGACTCCCGAGTCCATAAAGTGCTGACAGCTCTTAAAAAATGCAACGACTATATAAAAACTGGACGCCTTCACTGAGGTCCCTTACTGCAAATGCAATGCATGGCAATATATTACATCCTACATATGCAAACTGATGGGTTTGTATGTGTGCAGATAAACCACAGGAGACTTTTGTTTATTAGAACTTGGATCTTATTTCAGTAAGGATCATGTTGAACTCCATCATTTGTCTGTTTGTGGGCCTGTTTTCACCTCAGCACACTAAATAACTAACATTCCCACACCTTCCAGCTCCGTTTAGTTGTCATCAGATGGTGGTAAAGTTTGTTTTCTCTCTGTGTGTGCATGTGCTTGTTTGTCTGCAGTCTTAGGAAAACCATCCTCAACTCAGACGGCTTCAAAATTTTAATGAGGACAACAAAACTGAAGCTCTTCTTTTTGCACCCAGTGCAAACTGCAGCACTGCTACAGATCTGGGCAGCTTGGAAAATCTCACCTAAAACAATGTTTGGGGTGATATTTGATTCTAATTTTAACCTCAAGAAACAGATCAGTTCTGTAGTGAAGATATTCTTTTTTTAAACTGAGGCTTTTATTTCTTTTTACCCGTCTCATAAAGTCGACTGGGTGATTCACCCTTTTATTACCTCCCATCTGGACAATTCCAACTCTTTGTGTATTTATTCAGATCAGCCTGTCACGACTGCAGTTAGTTCAGATCGCTGCAGCTTGTTTTTAAACACAAACAAACAAAAAAACGTGAAGATATCTCCTTAGTGCTCACTTTATTGGCTTCCTGTTCATTTTGGAAATGATTTTAAAGTTTTATTGATGACCTGAACGGACAGGCTCCCGTATATCTGTGTGACCCTCTGCAGCCTTATGTTCCCTCCAGAGCCCTCAGATCTAATGATCATTTGTTTGTAGATGTCCTGGGGTCCAGACTGGTCCACAGAGGAGACTGGACTGAGAACCAGCTACCCCTTCAGATCAGCCAGGCTTCAACTCTTGGTGTTTTTAAGTCTCACATTAAATGGATCCCTGATTAGACTTTATTTGATAAACATATATTTTAAATGTAAAATAAAGACTGTAAAGAAAATGTAGGCCTTTTAGTTTTGTAAATTTTTAAAAATATGTTTTAACACGGACGGAGCCATTTTATTTACATGCAAAGCATTCTGGGTAAATGATGACGTGGATAGGTCCTTGTGCGAGGCTGCTAGCGAGCTATATCCACCCTGAAGGTTAATCTTGGACAATATCTGATGATCGACTCTTTTAAATGAAACCAGAGAGCGTTGACAGAGAGGAGAAGGTAGAAATGACTCAGCCTGGAACTGAAAATATGGATGGAGGACAACAGAGCTGCTTCATGGAAGAAGAACCTCAGCTTAGCCTGGTAGCCTTTGTGCTAGCGCTAATACTAAAGCTAACAGGCTAAGCTGGGGTTCTTCCATGAAGCAGCTCTGTAACCTTCAGGGTGGATATAGCTCGCTAGCAGCCTCGCACCGAGGACCTATCCACGTCATCATTTACCCAGAATGCTTTGCATGTAAATAAAACGGTCCTGACCATGTAATATATTTTTAAACTTTTAGTTTAAAAATTATAAAAACTAAACAGTATTTTTACAGTCTTTATTTTACAGTTTAAATATATGTTTATCAAATAAAGTTTAATGTTATAACTAATTGGGGATCCCTTTAAAACACATTAGTACTCACTGAGAGCTGACCTTTATTTTAATGGTTTTATTGTCTCATATTTTAGATGGGTTGGTTTTTTGTGTTGGTATTGTCTTTTCACTATTGCAGCGCTCAGACCACTGATTTTAAATGTACAACTACACAAATAAACCTAATTTCATTTGAACGATCTCATGAACTGGTGGATGAATGATGCATCTCAATAATCCAGGTAGAAAAATCGAACAAAGTTAAGTCGGGTCCTCTGGGTTTGTCTTCGCTGAAACATTTTGTCTCTTGTCCAAGAGACGTCTTCAGTCTGAGGAGCTTCAGGGAAACTCGGGGTTATAAGCAGGACCTTCATATAGTGGATCAACAAGTTTACTGATGAACATCCAAACTGTTTGTTCACATGCAAGGAGGACCATCAGCCTAACAACTAATCGTTGTTGTCCTGATGGCTGCTTGTTGTACAGAGGGGGCGGAGTCATACTCACAACAGCCCTGTTTCCATCAACGTTTTTTAATGAGCATTTTGAAGCATCGCATTAGAAAAGGTGAATGGAAACGGCATGATTAAAAAAACTTCCACTAATTAGCAAAAAAGTTGATACGCTCACTTGAGGTGGTTTTTGGGTTTTTCGAAAAAGTTGATGCTCAAAAGGAGAGATGGGAACACATTTGTCGAATCAGTTCTGACATAGTGAACATTTACCTCACATGATCAGCTGTTCTCGCTGTCTGAACGGTACCGTACGGTGGCCTGGAGGTGCAATGCAACATTACCAAATCTGAAACAAATCAGAAAACAAATTTACATTTTAGAAAACAAAATTACATTCCAGAAAACTAATTAACAATGTTTTCTGAAATGTAATTTTGTTTTCTAAAATGCAATTTTTTTTTGAAATGTAAATATGTTTCAGGGTTTGTAAAAGTGTTTTGAGTGTTGTAAATTTATTTTCTGAAATGTAATTTTGTTTTCTAAAATGTAAATTTGTTTCAGATTCTGTAATGTTGCATTGCACCTCCAGGCCACTGTAGTACCGGTACCAGAGCGACTGCAGCCGTGACTGCAGCAGGACCCTCCTCCTGCTGTCAGCTTGTTCTCAGTTATTCCAGTAACGTGAAGAGAATTACATTTCTTTCTCTACGTCTCCAGACAGCAGTAACATCACTAAAACTAGTTGATATGACAGAATAATTACAACTTTCCTGATAGTAGCAACACGTTCCTGATAACTTCTCTCCATTAACCTGAGATGTGACTTTTACTTCCTGTTTACCACACGTGTCTGACGTAATTGATTCGCTTCAAGCCAGTTGATGGAAACACGTCTGATTCGCATTTCTCAGCGTTTTCCTTTTTGCAAAATTTAAAAAATTCGCTCAAACTTCGAATTAGAATTGGATGGAAACACGGCTGATAACAGCATTGTAAAAGAGGAACAACTGGACATGAAGGCCTCCACCTCTGTTTAATGGTGGGCGTTTTTTTCTCCACAAAAATGTCTTCATTTACTCTTCTCGCAAACCAACGTTTCTTCTTATCAAGGATGAGAACATCTTCATCTTTAAAAGAGTGACCGGTCCATCTGCAGGCAAGTGGTCACTCCTGTCCCCTTCTTACGATGCTGTTATTGTGAGTGTGACTCTAAACAACAAGCAACCATCAGGACACTAATGATCAGTTGTTAGGCTGATGGTCCTCCTTTGCATGTGATCCACGTGATTTTGATGCATGTGATTGATTTTATCAATGTCATCTTTTCAAAATACTTTCATACGTATTATAAAAATTTGACGTCACAGACACTTTAACTCAAAATCTGACAAACTGAGTTGCAGCTATTATTGTAGTTTAAAATGGACATCTAATGACAACTTTCGGACCATTTCTTTGTTAAAACCTGTCTGGTGGCTCATAAAGTCTGAATTAAACTGCTTAAAAGACTCTTTAGCTGTTTTGTTGAGCTCAAATCCAGCATTTAATAAAATGCTGAAATTTTTGTTAAAGTTTTAACAGGAAAAAAGTATCTAAGGCAAAAAGCTAAATGAAAAAAATTAAGGTAGATATAGTAATTCTGGTTATTTGTGCTGAGCCATTTTTCTTTTTTTAACTTCTGGTTGTGGATCTGAACCTTCACTGTACTTATAATATATTATTTTTATACTTTTGATTTCTGTTTAATTAAAAAGTGAGAATTTTATGCTGTTATGTGGTCAAATCAAACTATTTTAAACAGTAATATGCGGCCTGATGTGAAATTATTATTAACACAAAACTATAAGATCCAAGTTGTAATGGAAACGCATCTTTAAAAGTAAAGGTTAAATCTGTGATATTCAGTTATTTTATTTTTATAAGCTGGGAGCTTGTCTCCTGTTGATTGAACCCTTTCAGAATGAGGGGGGTCACCCCAGAGACGTCCTCCACCTCCTCATGGTTTGATCAGTGACTCAGACTTGGGTTGTACAGATGAGGCAGCCCCTCTATGACTCGACTTAGCGTTGTGCTCATTGTCTGCACACAGCTGGGGGTCTTTTAGGTCTCCCTGCTCCTCATCATCATGTGAACAGATGCAAAGTCTCCATGTTTGAGTTTTTCTTCTCGTCTGCTGCCTGTATGCCATGTGTGACTCTTTAGTATATGCAAAGCAGCAAGCATTCAGACAGAACATGCAATCACTGTCTCGCTCTGTGTCTGACTGCAACTGAATTAAAGAACATTGCCATGCCTGTGTTATAACATAACACAAAGCAAAAACAACTTTTGTTGGCCGTTGTCTCATTTTCTACAATCAAAACTGGATTTGGAAATGACACCTTTTACAGCGAGTTAACTTGACTTTTACCTTTGTGTCTCCACACTTAGAAAACCTTTTTTAAAATGAGAAAACCAAGTGTTGAATTAAACAGAGAAGCACCGACATAAATAATAACCAGAGAAATTGTTTTATTTTATAATCCTGAAAGACCTTGCTGAAATTCACGTAAGCTGAAATGGAGTTGTGGTTTGCCAAACGTAGCAAGAGGTAAGCTAAATGCTAAGGAAGCAATGCAGATCTAAATACTAAAACTAGCACAAAAAAAGGCAAGCTAAGCTAAAGTAGCACTGGCTAAAAGCTAAGTAGCAAATTGGTTATAATTAAAAATGATAGTTAAAAACTAAAATTAGCCAGAAGTGTGAAGTGAAGTGAAAAATAAAAATAAGTAGGTTGCAAAATCCTGGATTCATAAATGTTTGAAATGAACCCTCAGACATCAATTTATCAAATAAAAATTAATGGTTAAACC